TGGAAATCGGATAAAAGAAATACACAAAAATGTAAGCTGTAAATATCTGGGTAGGTTGTTCCCGAATTGCTAATGCGAATTAACAGTAAAGTTTACACTATATAGAGAGAATGAACTTGTTTGTTACAATCCGGGATTGGGTCTAGTTCACGTTCATCCTGGTGAAGTCATTTTGTTAATACCATCAGGAAGGAATGACTTCAGCCTGTGCATCCAGAACTTTTCCTTGCCTTTTCTCTAAGCATCTGTCCATCTTGGATTATGGTCAATAACCACTACTGTCATGTCCTCCCATTTGTGACCTTCAAGGTTGAAATGTTCCCCAACGGGTTCATTGAGTTTTTTTTGTCCTAATGGTAGAACGGTGATTATTGACTCTCCTGCGGAGATCACCTGTTTCGCCAACATACTGTTTGGAGCAAACTTTGCAACTGATGAGATAAATGCAGTTGTCTGTTTGACAGGACAAGTTCCCTAGAATTTTGTAGCTGCGGCCTGTAATGGGGCTGTTAAAGCTGTCTGTGTCAGAGCTGTGCTTACAGAGAAGACATCTTCTGTCAGAGAAAGTTTTAAAGCCTCCGTTAGGTAATGGATTGTCCAATCTGGTTCTTACTACACTGTACCATGTCCTTTAGATTCCTTGGGCGTCTGTATGCAGCCAATGGGGGCTCCTTAAAGACCTCTGCCATTCGTTTATTTGAATGGAGAATTGGCAAATTCTTTTGAAGGATACCGCTGAAGTTCTTAAGGACGGGATGGTATGTGGTTACCAGAGGGACCCTGCCGCTATTGTCTTTTTCCTTGTAGCGTAATAGGTTTTGCCTGTCATGTCCCGCCATCTCATCAATAGCAATTTGTACGGTGCGGGCATTGTAGCCTCTCTTGCATAAGTGGGACTTGAGGAGACCGCTTTGTTCCTGATATAAGGCAGGGTATGAACAGATGCGCCGAATTCTGGTGGCTAGACCCTTAGGCACACCCTTAAATGTGTGTGGGGGATGACAGCTAGTTGGCATAAGATACTAATGGGAATCTGTGGGTTTCGTGTGGAGACTGAACTCGATTTCAGGGTAGATTTTCAGTCAGGGTAGATGTAGTATCTAGGAATATGTTTTTCGAATTAGATACGTCTACTGTAAATTTGATACACAGGATGAAAAGCCAGGTTTCCCAAATTTGGAAACCCGATGGAAACATATGGGAATCGTGACATCAGTAGTTTCCATATAGTTTCCATTTTATGGAAACCACATAGTGGTTTCCACGTAGATTCCCGATATGGAAACAATCAACCTGTGGTTTCCCGTAAGTTTCCCAAAATGGGAAACCGTGGAAACATGCAGTAGTGGTTTCCACGTAGATTCCTAATATGGAAACAATCATTCTGTGGTTTCCCGTAAGTTTCCCAATATGGGAAACCGCGGAAACTTGCAGTAGTGGTTTCCACGTAGATTCCCGATATGGAAGCAATCAACCTGTAGTTTCCCACATGTTTCCCAGATATGGAAAACACGTATGCCGTGGTTTACACCTATTTTCCCAATAATAGACATTTTGGAAACGTGTATCAAAAGAATAATTTTAAAAACTGTTTGTGTAATTCTGTGTAATAAAATTGAACATTCTGTGACCGTAAACCCAAATTAAATGATTTTTTAACATTTTAGTCTAGGTAAAACTCATTAAGACACGTGGTTTAGAATTAATAGAGAAGATTTAATACAACATTTATTTTTGAAAAATCAGTGTAAACTGGTCAGATAAAATTCAATCATTACGCTGACCCTTGTAATCGCGGGCACCTGTTCTCACGTGCCACAGGTGGAGACACCTGTCGCGAAGACACCTGCGACTGTATATTTCTTGTATATTCTATTTTATTTGAGAGGATTTTCTACCTAAGGGAAACAATAGGCTGTGGTCAAGCATGTACATACACATAGTCTCCGCAAACTCAGTTTAAATCTAGGTGATAATTGTTGGCCATTGATTTGATTTTAAAAAAAAATTAAATTATCAATAAGATCACAAAATATTGATAAAATCAGCTACATTAATTTTAAGATGTTCAATGAGAGAAGAAAAAAAAAATTGTATTTCAATTTTTCATTACTGATTAAAAAAGAAAATTTCCTAACCGTTTAAAAATCATATATACTTTTCTATCGGTCTAGAATAAATCTAAATTCTCGTTATGTGTTAAATCATAATTCTTTTTCAAACAAATTTGTAAGTGCATAGATAATGAAATAAAATTTCTTAATCGGTAAATAACGAATCGTCCTTGTTTAACGTTTGACATCAATGTAAACTTTGAATATTGAAAACATAGAAAGAATTATTAATTATCAACTTTATTGTGTTGCCTTTAAGACATTGATAAGATAAAACAGCAGAATAATATTCGTATAAAAAATTAATGCGTGTTAACTAAATAACTTACATTTTTTATATCTGTACACAGACCCTGATGTAGTAAATGTCTTCATTTTTCGCATGAAATTACAATAATGTTGGTCTTAAATGCATACATGCACGTATATTTAATTTAGCCATTTTGTACACAAAGACCAATGCTGGCTCTAAATAAAGAAAACTCTATGATATTTATTTAAATGATTTTCTTTTCTTTAAGAATAACGTCTTCTGAAGAACTGCATGCTAAGGCAATTCATTGAAGAAGAAAAAAAAAACAATAATTTATTAATTGTTTTACATGTAGATGCTTACCGAAAATATTCCTTTTAAATCGTGCATTGTGTTAAGCAGAAGGTTACCCCTACAAATTTAAGCCCCCCTCCCTTCTTCAAAAAATGGAGAGAAAATAGTTTCTTTCGATATATAGGTATTATATACTGATGTGGTGATTGTCAATACTACTACATGTACATGTACAAACATTTCTTTATGTACGCCGTCCATTTCTTGATTTTTATACGCCGACATGTAACATTACTTATTTAAAAAAAAAAAAAAAAAAAAAAAAAAAAAAAAAAAAAAAAAACCTGCACTTAATACTGTCTACTCAAACTACAGGCCTGTATGAAAGTAATTTCAATTTGGGGCAAAACTTTACTAGAAAGTTCTTAACTAGCAAACCTTACCAGAAATTACAGGAAAAAAGTTATATATGAAAGATACAGGACGGTACTGGCTGAACGGCTAAATTAAGCCACATATATATACATGTTTATACAGCCCTGCACATCAACGAGTATACACCGGGCATTATTTTCCAACAAATCAGATGATCAATTATTGACAAATTGTTACCAGTCACAACTAAAATTCTGAATGCAATGGACATAATTGTAGGTTACCTACAATAATTCTGGGCTTATTTTTATCATGTGTTTTAGGTCTTTAGCAACAGTTTCAAAATGGGGGGGGGGGCTTCCAAAAAAATCTGACAAGCCAAAAAAAAATCATTTAATTTCACCCCCTGCCCCCCCCCCCTCCTCGCATTCTACGGGCGGTGTTTTTCAAATTAAAATACTGCACGTTTTCCCTACCTTTGCTTAGATATTGGTTCGTTTTTTATTCACCTTTTGTTTACTCTCCTTTTTTATAAATCAATTTTCAAATTAAATGTGAAAAATTCTGATACATTAAAACGGTGTGAGAAATTTTATAACTAAAGGCAAAGATGTTTCAAGTAAAATATAGGAAATTGGAAAAAGTCCAGCAATTTGTCCACTGATTCTTATTGATAACTGAGTGAGGCTCAAAATCGAAACCAAAAAAAAGGAAGGGGTTCAATAAAGTATCTAAAGCCGAACAAGAGAAAAAAAATCAAATTTTTATTATTCTTGAACCGTCCTTGCTGGTAATTAAATTATTTTGTCTTGATTTTCTTAAGTGTATACTAGTCTAACATACCCTAATTCCTTTTACTAAACAGCAATTTTTGACGCCGAACTTTTCCATCATCACTAAAAATAAAATACTGTTCTGTATACAGTGTACATGTCATGTAGTTTATTTGCATAAAGGTTTAACATCTTCCGTTGTGACATTATACATTAATCAGAATAATGAATAATTTAATGAAAAAGTAGTGTTGGAGGGGAGAGGGCAAGCGGACATTTTCTGTTTGGATGGGCACTACATTCCAAGCCCACACCCCACCCCCAAGTCATACAATTTGAGGGGTCACACCAGACACATAAACTTTCTCTGGTCACCCTCAGATAAACGCTTCGTTTTCTATAGTATACTAATTATCAGCAAATTTATTGAGGAGCACCCCCCTTTCTATGAACAGAGAAGAACTTAAGGAAAAGAACTCATAATCACCGTCACAGGGAAATTATATTATATATAAAAACTTATTAAAGTAAATAGGTTCTGTTTCCCATAATGCATCGCTCTGCAGAGGCTTTATTCATTGGTCAATTTTCACGAGGCGCCATTTTTGGAGTTGAGCAAGACGGAGAAGAACTCGGATGTAAGGTGCAAATGTGAAAAGTTAATGATGTTTTCGCCACCCAGTGTCTTTAAAACTGTGAAAAATGCAATGATCAACAACCAAGGATTAGTGTACGTATATTTTTATATACTTTTTTTTACGGTAAATAATAGTACTAATGGGCAGAACAAATCTTTCCCATCGAAGACCACATTCGTTTTGACGCCATTTTGAAATGTTTGATATCTAAGTTTTAAATATTTTAGTTTACACATTGCAAAAACGAAAAGAGAAACTTGAATTATACAGTATTTAGTGTTTTACGATCAAAGATGCATAGATAGTAGACTTTGTATAGCTAGACCCTATGGCACCACATTTGTCTTTTTCCATGCTGTACGTTTTGCATTTTAGATTAATTTTTTTTAGTGAAAATGAATGCTTACTATAATAGTTCTCTCTCTATGTATATAAATGAAAAATGTATGATTTTTTTTTCGTTGTTAAATCGGATAATAATGTTTGTACCGAATATGGTTTCCTTGTTAATACGGACAAAACATATATCCGGTTTGAATACATGTGTTCTCAGATCGTCAACTTCATGAACTTGTTAGACTTTTGGAACTTTTTATGATGTAACGACAAGGTATAAATGAATTATTTCTGCTACTAAATTACGATTAAGTCATTAATATTTAAACAAAAGGTGTCCACAATCTCAAATTATCAGATTATTCACGAAGGACATCATCAATGGAAATTTAAAAGACAGCTGAAAGAGAGAGTTCTGACTATTGTAATCCGACACAGATAAAACGCCTTTATGTGGCAGATATAATTACAAATTGTGAAGAATCATAAGAACAATTTAAATAGATTGTCTGTAACTAGAGTACATATACATCTTAAAAAGCCATAGCACAACCCTTAGTGATATGCATAGTGATGATTTGTATAGGGAAAATGTATTGGTTTTAAAGTGCACTGTCTATAATAATATAACAACTGTTTAACAAACAAGTGATAGATTGTAAATTGAAACAGTTTACTGTTCAAAAGACAAAATTTTTCATGCGTGACCTGCTGAAAGATTTACTGAAAATGTTAAAAATAATAGTCTATATGATGTACAAATATTGATAATTTTTTATAGTATTTCAAGTAATGCAAATGAATCATCTAAATTACAATCATCAATTATTGATGGCGGTCGCAACATCGTAGAAGCATAATGATAAAAATAAGTGAATCCGCATTTGTTTGAAATTTTTGTTTTTTTATTTTTTTTCCTCCCTGGTAGTTGTTGAAGTCTAGGCCATTATTAAAAATACTTTTGTTTGATGTACTCCGACCCACATTTTGCAAAATGAGTAGGTAAGTAGGTAGATGATTTTGGCAGTATCTAACAAATTGATTTTTGTCATACAAAAACACAGAATTAGAAATTTTGATGTTTCATTATGTACACTGGACAGCTAGACAGATTTAATATTTATTTCTCCATAAAACAAGTGTCTTGGAGAAATTATAAACCTCAACTTTATAATGAAACAAAATTTATTTCAATGAAACCAAAGAAAAAAAAAATTGAAATAAAATTTCAATACTTAAAAAAATGATTGGGTAGGGGTGATTTTGATGGGTTATTCGGAGTACATCAAACAAATCATTTTTAGCATACTGAGCCAAAGGCTCAAGTGAACTTTTCTGATCGAAATTTGTCTGTCGCCGTTGTTTTCGTAATTTTTTCACATTTCAATCTTCTCAAGAACCACTGGGCCAATTTCAACCAAACTTGCTATAAAATATCCTTGGATAAAGGGGATTCAAGTTTGTTCAAATAAAGGGCCATATCTCCTTCTAAAGGGAAATAATTACAAATAAATGAAAAATTTATGGCATCATTTAAAAATCTTCTTTTCTGGAACCACATGGCAATGAAAGATTCCACTTATTTGGAAGCATCCTCAGGTAGTGTAAATTCAAATTTGTTTAAATCATGACCCCCAGTGTAGGACGGGGCCATAATGGATGATCAATTTTACATAGGAATACATAGGAAAAAATCTTTTAAATCTTCTTCACTAGAACCACTGTATCAGGAAAGATGACACTTATATTGAAACATCCTCAACTAGTATAAATTCAAGTTTGTTCAAATCATGACCTCCTGGGTAGGATGGGGCCACAATGAACGATCAAAGTACATAGGAAAAATCTTAGAAATTCTTCTTTTCAAGAACAACGAAGCCATGATTGGTCATATTTATATACACGGCTGATGAAGTAATGTAGATATTATTTAAATCATGACCCCCCCCCCCCCCCAGGAGAATAGAGGGGCCATAACAGGGGATCATAGTTATACAAAGGAATAAAAAGCTAATATGTGTCATATTAATTCAAAAGCATCCTTAGAAAGTGTACAATCCCCCCCCCCCCCCTCTCCAAACCACTTTTATATTTAAACATTTCAATACTGAACTGATTTATATTTTTTCCTACCCAAAGTGCTTAGGTGAGCAATGTGGCCCCTGGGACACTTGTTTATTGTTGGTCTCATAGGTGAAATCAGAATGCAGTAGTAACTGTACATAATAAATTCTTTCAGAGAGAAGAAAACTGACATTAAAGGAGAACCAGTAAGATGTATGATGAATCAAGATGTGATCTTGTGGTAAGTAGTAATTAATTCAATCATAAATAGGCATGTATAACAATTGCATGAAAAGAAAAGAACTTGAGTTTAATTGGAATGTTGAAATACCAATTGCAAACTACAAGAGGTTATGTAAAATTATGGCTTGGAGTCTTCTTTTTCACTCCTCTATAAAATTTTCTGTCTGGATAATATCTCGCATAATATACACCATGCAGTGAGGAATTTAGTTCACTCGAGCTAAAAACTCATGTGAACTTTTCTAATCACCTTTTGTTTTGTGTTTTGTCCATCAAACTGTCTATCCATCTGTGAGCTTTTCACATCTGTAACTTCTTCCCAAGAACCACTAATTTTAACCAAGGTTGACACAAAGTAAGGATATTCTAAATTGTACAGAGGAAGCCCCCCTCCCCCCCCCCCCCCCCCCCCGTTCACCCCAAGGGGAAATGATTAACTCTCTTAAATATTGTTGATATGATCATTGTTGAGCAACTTATAATTTTGTAACCTGTAGACTTCATCTTAAGAATAATGAATATTTGTTTAAGAGTCCTTTTGCCATGGTTCAAAGTTCAATTCAATCATTGAAAATATTTTGAGATATTTGAGGATTCAAGATATCAGGAGTAATTAAAATGCTTAAAGAATACTTTCAAATTACTTCAACATACATGTATCTATGGTATTCGAGATGTCTGTGTTCGAGATGCCAAAGTTCAACTGTATGGCTATGATAAAGTAGTAAATATTATAACTGTATAACTTACTAAAACTTTTTAACATTGAAACATGTTAAATGAAACAATACAAGAATGAAAAATAAGGACATGCACATGCATTTACTGATTTCTGGCTGGTCAGTATTTTAATGACTGTAATTTCTAAAATATTCAGGGAAACACATTGAAGCTTTAAATGTAGGTATATGTTAACTAAATATACTATAAGGTAATATTTATAAATGGGAAGTCTTGAACAAACATTACAACATGCATGTATGTAAACTGGGGCTAAAATTGGTTAATGGCTATCGCCTTAATTTTCAGTGACATAAAACAAGATTTAGAATGCAGGTAAATAATACTAGTATGTGTCTGTACATATGATATAGCATATAGAACTTGTACTGAATGTTGATTAACTAAATCTTGAATGGCTGTTATGTTGGTCGTCTTTGATGAAATTTAGATTATTTTTATGCAAACTGAGTGTACATGCAATTTGAAATTATTCATAAGGTATTAAACATGATTAAAGCATGTGTATGCAATGCAACATATGATGAATTCATATTGACTTATATGGATATAACTTTACATATATATGCATTGATTTTTTAGGGTCCTGTTCTGTGGATGCCATGAGATGATCTGTCTGTTCATCTGATATCACTTGTCCTGAGTATATTTTCTCTCCTCATAGCCCAATCTCACTCAAATTTAACTCATAGAGTGCCTGTGGATGGAGGGTAAAAAGTGACCTTGGACCAATTATCTAGGTCAAAGGTCAGTATCAAAATACACTGTATATCTTTATCTAAAGTCCTTGTCCAGAGCATAATTTTTCTCCCTTGGTATGATCTGGATTGTGTGCCATGGGATGAAGGGTGTGTAGTGATCTTTAACCAATTTTCTAGGTCTAATGTTAATTAATAAGAAAAAAAGATTTGTAATATCCTTGTCCAGAGCACATTTCTCTCCACTCAACTAAAAGCAGTGTTCTACATGCATGAGATGGTCATATTCTCAATCATACCTGTTTTAATATTAATCTGGCTTAAAACCTTACTATGTAATGTTCATTATTCGGATTTCATTAAATTTAAAGACTGAAACTAATCACTGATATTGGTACATTAAAGTACATTGAGTGATCATGTCAGATTTCTAAATAATATTCAAGCATACAATTCTTACATCAAATAATAATTTTGTATGAAAATATATTGCAGATCGCAGATGATGTGAAGAAAATAAGGAAGCTGATGTTGAAAGAAGTATAGAGTATTTAATGAAGTTTATGAATGGACTTATATAATTAGATGTGAAAGACTACTTCATTGTTTACCAAGATATATGATTTTATTTATTTTGATATCATTTTCAAATAATGTTTTTGCACATCAAATGAATTATTAAACATATGATTTGATAATGCTTTTTCCTTTTTATACATTTTCTTGATAGATTTTGAAAAGAAAACACAGTTTACCAAGGAAATTAATGATATATATTTTGATTTAAACCTGCTGTTCTCTTTTCATATTCTAGACAACAAAGATTTACCATGGAAAATACAGGGATCCTTGAGCTTCCAGTTGCTTGTCAATCATTTTTCGTAATTGAAATGCTCCACCTACCCTGTAGTTTCCATGGTATGGAAACTATTACACCGCAATTACACATTGCTTCCCGTCTCAGATAAATAAGGGAATCTTGAAGTGTTCCTGTAATTTCCTTTTATGAGACACCAGATAATTCCACCAAGTTTCCATCACACGGAAACCGCTACGCTCCGATTCCATGTAGTTTCCTGAGTCATGGAAACTTGGGGAATCACGAGGTTTCCTCTAGTTTCCGTTCATGGGAAATCTGAGGATTCCATCAAGTTTCCATTCCATGGAAACCACTACGCTCCGATTCCACATAGTTTCCTAATAATGGAAACCAGTGGAATCTTCAGGTTTCCCATTATGGGAAACTACATGGAGGCTCGGGAAACTTCAGGTTTCCTGAGGTTTCCGTGGTTCGGGATACCTAATGGAATCGGAGCGTAGTAGTTTCCGTGCCACGGAAACTTGACGGAATAACCTGGCATCCGCTGCGGAAACCACTAGGAAACATGATGTAATCTTCAGGTTTCCATGTGGTTTCCGTATAGTTTCCCATGACGGGAAACTGCTTTTTTCACCCAGTGATAGACTGATGAAAGGTGTTGGCAAACGAAATGAATGCCTCGAGGCTCTCGCGACATTCCACCCACTTCATCTCTATATCGTCAATGAAACGCAACCACCTAAGGGGCCTAAATGGTGCTTGAAGTAGCAAGTTGCGTTCCAGTCTACCCATGAAAATATTGGCATAAGATGGTGCCATTTTCGTACGCATAGCAGTGCCATTAACCTGGAGGTAATGCTCTCCATTACACATGAAGTTGTTATACTTGAGAACATGTTCAAGGAGCTTGGCAAGCACTACTAAGTCAGAAACGTACTGACATTCCCATTTTTTACTGACAAACTTAGATAATTACTGACAATGTGCTGCCTTTACTGCAAAACTTAGACAATTACTGACTTTTTTACTGCCGGTGCTGATAAACTTAGAAAAGTGCTGACAATCTTAGTCGGTGCTGATAAACTTAGACAATTACTGACCCGTTTTACTGTCCCTGCTGAAAAACTTAGACAAGTGCTGCCATTTATAATTACTGATAATTACTGTCCCTATTGTTCTCGCTCTCGGGGAGGCTGCAGTGGTATGGAATTGATTTTTTTTTTATCTTAAAGAGGTTTTTAAAAATAATTTTTATAACTATGCCCCAATGATATTTTTAAAAGCTCCTACGATCAATTTAACGAAGAATTATTTGAAAATATTTCATAAGGAAAACATATAAAACTTCAGAATCTTTCAGCAGATAAGCAATTTATAAATTATTTTTAGAGGCGTTTATAAGGAAAAAATGGCGTTTTACAGGGGTCTTTTCCTCCTGATTATATACGGGGTTGTATTGATATTCTTCGATCCTTGATATTCTTTGATTAGTTAGTTACTGTCCATTCTACATCTTTTAGCTGATTTCCGTATCTGGGATTTCTGGATCCCTACATGAGAGTATTTTTTAGGGTTAATTATTATTATAATGATTTGTAAAGCACGGCAATTCATTTGATATTAAGTGATAAAAAAAAAAAATAAATGAGCTATAAAAAACAAATTCAGCGGTTTGAGACAAAATATCGTTAGTTCGTATATTTTAACTTAATTTGGATTCAAAATGATACACATGTATTGACAATTCTTGCTTTCAAGTTAAGTAAAATACTCCTTGAATTGCTAATTTTATATTTTCAAAAGTTTATTTGTTGATGCGGCATCTTGAAATAGAGTGTTGCTAGAAATTCATATACATTCTCTTATCAAATAGAATGTTGCTAGAACTTCATACCCATTTTCCTATCAAATTTAAATGGGGGGGGGGGGGACACGTGCGATCTTTAATAAAGACGTATTATAATATAACAGTAGCCGATTTCCTAAGATAATAGCAAACATGCTTGAATGTTAAAATAATACTGTTGGGTTTTATTAGTACTTCGAGATCTGTGAAAATTTTGAGCCAGAAACAATCATAGTATGTATTTTTTTATTTTGTGCGAACGATTGATATGTCAATAAAATCGATAGCATTATTTTGATGCGTTCTCGCTTGATTGAATGGTAAGGTTTTGATGTCGCACTGTGCTGTGCACATTTTGTTAGTTTACACAAAGATGCATGGTGCATTAGATCATGCAAACATATAAATATTTATGTCTCTAATTAGATATTGTATATTAAATGACAAAACGTTGATACCAATCTCGTTTTTCTCAAACATTTCGTCAAGAGTTTTGGTGATGGCGGTGGAGAATTCTTTAGTAGGGTCAGAGTCCAGTTTCTTATAGAAACGTTCGTCTGAGAGTTGTCTATGGGCCTCCGCCATGTACGTCTCTTTATCAAGTACTACTACTGTAGAGCCTTTGTCTGCTTTCTTGATTACAATGTCATCCCGATTCTTTAATGATTGTAAGGCGGATCTCTCTTCCTTACTCAAATTGTCGGGAGCCTTATCTGGCATTGAAAGGAGTTTCTCTATGTCTGACTCAACGGCGTCAACATACGACTCAAGGGCTCCGCATTTTCCCGGTGCAGGTTCCCAGTCACTTTTGGGCCGATAGAGTTTGTGTTCCTCTAAGTCGTGCAATTGTGGCTGAGAAGAGTCATAAGAGTCAACTTCGGAGTCTTTTCTAGAAAAGTGCTCCTTCAACCGAAGTCTCCGAAAGAATGCTCGGGTTTCCTCTCTGACTTGTTTTTCGTCGACCTCATGTGGCGTGGGACAGAAATTCAGCCCCTTGGAAAGAAGTGGGGTCTCCGAATCGGAGAGAGGAACACTAGATTTATTGAGCACTGGGCAGACGTCAGGAGTTTGTGAGGGTCCGTCCCTCGCGATTGTCGTTAAGCGCTTTAAGCGTCTCGAGCGGGGTTTACGTGTTTTGTTAACTAGGACCTCTGACCGGTTGTTCTTGGTCTGCGGAACACTGTCTCGGAGAAATTTCTTTCTTTGAGTCTTGCTGAGTTCATTTGTTAGGGCCATATCATAGGTGTCAATAATATTGTGGGCTTCATCAAGATCAGCTTGGGACATGCTATCAGCGAGGGATGATTCTAAGGACGTGATATCACTCTCAAATTGTCCTAACTTGTGGATATCCCAAGAACGACAGAGTGACATCAATTGTTTAGAACACCTCTTTGTAATATCTTCCCAGCAAGACTCAAAGAAAGAAATTTCTCCGAGACAGTGTTCCGCAGTAGTAGTACTTGATAAAGAGACGTACATGGCGGAGGCCCATAGACAACTCTATAAGAAACTGGACTCTGACCCTACTAAAGAATTCTCCACCGCCATCACCAAAACTCTTGACGAAATGTTTGAGAAAAACGAGATTGGTATCAACGTCTATGAGACACTCAATCCTATTGACTGTAGACCAGGACAATTTTATCTGCTTCCTAAGATACACAAAGAAGGTATGCCAGGTCGCCCTATAGTTAGCGCAATTGGACACCCCACGGAGAAAATTTCTGAATACATTGATTTACATCTCCGTCCACACGTAGAGAATTTGCCGTCTTATCTCAAGGACACCACGGACTACATTAACAAGACGCCCTCTACTGGCCTTCCAGATCATACCCTTCTCATGACTATGGACGTCACATCTTTGTACACCAATATTCCGTACGATGAGGGTATCGAAGCCTGTAGAGAAGTCTGGGATAGTAGATCCATACAAATTCCTTCTACCGAGTCCCTTGCCAAGCTCCTTGAACATGTTCTCAAGTATAACAACTTCATGTTTAATGGAGAGCATTACCTCCAGGTTAATGGCACTGCTATGCGTACGAAAATGGCACCATCTTATGCCAATATTTTCATGGGTAGACTGGAACGCAACTTGCTACTTCAAGCACCATTTAGGCCCCTTAGCTGGTTGCGTTTCATTGACGATATAGAGATGAAGTGGGTGGAATGTCGCGAGAGCCTCGAGGCATTCATTTCGTTTGCCAACACCTTTCATCAGTCTATCAAATTTACAGTAGACGTATCTAATTCGAAAAACATATTCCTAGATACTACATCTACCCTGACTGATGGTGAAATCGAGTTCAGTCTCCACACGAAACCCACAGATTCCCATTTGTATCTTATGCCAACTAGCTGTCATCCCCCACACACATTTAAGGGTGTGCCTAAGGGTCTAGCCACCAGAATTCGGCGCATCTGTTCATCCCCTGCCTTATATCAGGAACAACGCGGTCTCCTCAATTCCCACTTATGCAAGAGAGGCTACAATGCCCGCACCGTACAAATTGCTATTGATGAGATGGCGGGACATGACAGGCAAAACCTATTACGCTACAAGGAAAAAGACAATAGCGGCAGGGTCCCTCTGGTAACCACATACCATCCCGTCCTTAAGAACCTCAGCGGTATCCTTCAAAAGAATCTGCCAATTCTCCACTCAAATAAACGAATGGCAGAGGTCTTTAAGGAGCCTCATTGGCTGCATACAGACGCCCGAGGAATCTAAAGGACATGGTAGTAAGAACCAGATTGGACAATCCATTACCTAACGGGGGCTTTAAAACTTTCTCTGACAGAAGATGTCTTCTCTGTAAGCACAGCTCTGACACAGACAGCTTTAACAGCCCCGTTACACGCCACAGCTACAAAATTCTAGGGAACTTGTCCTGTCAAACAGACAACTGCATTTATCTCATCAGTTGCAAAGTTTGCTCCAAACAGTATGTTGGCGAAACAGGTGATCTCCGCAGGAGAGTCAATAATCACCGTTCTACCATTAGGACCAAAAAACTCAATGAACC